CACAGAGGCGGGGCAAAACTCCGCTCCCAACCAACCTGGCTATACATTTTGGTAAGACCAGGATCAACTGACTCATTTCACACATCTACAGCTTACACGCTAACTTTCTCTTGGCACCACACCACACAACCTTTCCCTCAACCCCCCTACCCCCACCACCCCACTTTCCAACACCCACACACCCGCCTGGTGTCCCTGCACACCGACTAGGGGCACTGCGTCCCGAAAGGGAACATAGGGGAGGAGGATCCATGGCGCCCTCGCTGAAGTGTATCTCTATCAACTGCAAGGGCCTCAACAACCCACTAAAGCGCCACCAAACCATGCGCTGGGCGAATAGAACCCAAGCGCAAATTATCCTCCTACAAGAAACCCACTTTCAACAAAACAGGGCATTCCCGCTACTAAACCGAAACTTCAGGGAGGATCGGCAATCAGAAATACGCCTTTTCCTCGATCTACGCTCCTAATGCACCTTCAGCCTCCTTTTGGCAGGCACTACAAACACACCTAGCACTATTTTCCTCACACCACCTGATTATAGGAGGTGATTGCAATGCCACTCCATCCCCAGCGATGGATAGGCACAGAGCGGGAACCCAAAAGAAATCTAGCGTTCACTGAGCAAAAACCGACAAACTCCTTCAATCCTTCCTCGTGCGAACTCGCCTCGTAGACGTATGGAGAGCCCAACACCCAGCCTCTAGGGACTACACATTTTACTCACACCCACACCAATCCCACTCGCGCATAGATATGTTCCTTACATCCCCATCCGTGGTACCTATGCTCAAATTCACATCTATTGGATCAATAACGTGGTCGGACCATGCAGATATCTCACTCACTCTAGACCCACCAGGCGTAACCCGCCAATGGTCCTGGCGCCTGAACCCCACACTGCTACATAACCCTGCAATCCGAGAATCCACTTCCCGGGCCATCACAGACTATTTCTCCCTAAACAAACACTCCGTCACCTCCCCGGGTATATTATGGGCGGCACACAAAACAGTCATCAGAGGCACCTTGATAAGCCAGACAGCCCACCACAAAAAACAGCGCTTAGCCAACTTAGAACAAAACCTAAAAGAACTCCGCTTACTGGAAATCGCCTTCAAAAAACAACCCACGCCAGACCTGAACACTAAAATACAACAACACCAGGCAGCTATAAAAGACTTCATGTCTGCGGACACAGCCAAGGCCCTCCAATGGACCCGCCAGCTCTTTTATGAAAATTCTAATAAAGCCGACTCTTTACTTGCCCGTAAACTCAACCGCAGAGCTATGCACAAAAAAATCCACTCGAGAGACGGGAAACCACAGGAGTCACCAGACCAAATAGCAAAAGTATTCCAAGAATACTTTTCGGAGCTGTACGACCATAGCCCCCAACACAGACAGGACCCCACTCCACTTACGAACACAATCAATGAATACCTTGACTCTGTCACCCTACCCTCACTGACACCTGAAGGAGCTAGCCGACTTTCAGAGGCAATTACACCTGAAGAAATAGCTAACGCTTTCAAAACGCTGAAACCCAATAAATGCCTGGGCCCAGACGGATTCTCGGGACTATATTATAAAACCTTTGCAGCAGCCCTAATCCCGCAACTCAGTGATCTCTTTAATGCACTGCTCCAGGGGTCCCCCCTTCCCCCTGACATGCTGCAGGCGAACATATGCCTCATACCGAAACCCGGCAAATCCCATCTTGACCCCGGACACTATACACCAATTTCCCTGCTAAATGTAGACGTTAAAATATTCACAAAAGTAATGACGGAAAGACTTAACCCCCTCCTGCCCCGACTCATCCACCCAGACCAAGTGGGATTTATCCCGAACAGATAGGCCAGCGATAATACTAGACGTACTGTTGCGGAGCTGCAATTTTATAATCCCAGGATCTCTGCTGGTAGAATGCAATAACCAAGTACAAAGCTGGAAGCAGGCAATATTCCCAAATCCTCCCAAGAACCAGACGAAACACAGTCTGAGAGTCAACTGCCACTTTATTCAAAAAGACTGATCTTTAAAGCAGGTCACTCAACTGTCACTTTATTAAAAATAAATGATATTTAAAGCAGGTCACTCAACAGGGGTTTCCAAAGATGGGCAGCAGGGGTTTTGGTTGAGGGGACTGGAGGGAGACTACCATTTCCAGGTCCTCCTCCCAACAGCCCCTGCTGTAACATACAGTAATGAAAACTACGAGGACATAAACCGTTACCTTTCTACTTCAAAATATACAACTTAGTCAGTTTTAATAGCAATGCTAACGAATAGGGAGGATTCGAACAGACATACACAGTACAGCATAAATTAAATATAGCCGGAGACGCCACACTATACCGGCGCGCAGTACACAACAGAAAATAGGCACAACCATTCTATCTTAGGCAGTCCCAATTGGCTAGGTTTGCCACAATGCTCCCCCAAAACCAAGCCGGCATACACAGTCTGATCCCAACGGATCGGCTTGGGGATGTCCGGGGGAGTGCTCACAGATCATTTCTCAAGTTCTGTCTGTCTGGACAACCCATCGGCGTTACCATTCTGTTTTCCAGGGCGATAATGGATCGTGAAATCAAACGGCTGCAGCGCTAAACTCCAGCGCAAGAGCCGGGCATTGTCTCCTGACACCCTGTGTAGCCACACCAACGGGTTGTGATCTGTGAGCAAGGAGAATGGTTGTCCATACAAATAAGGTTGTAACTTTTTGAGGGCCCACACCACGGCCAGGCATTCCTTCCTTCGATGGCGGCGTAGCCTACTTCCCTTGGTAGTAATTTTCTGCTTAAGTAAGCTACGGGATGTTCTCCGCCATCAGCTCCCACTTGGCTCAGTACTGCCCCCAATCCAAACATGGAAGCGTCTGTGTGAACAAGAAATCGCTTAGTTGGATCAGGGGCAGTTAACACAGGAGCCTTAGTTAATGCAGTTTTTAGTTCATGGAATGCCTGTTCACACTCTGGGGCCCAGTTGACCTGTCGTGGCAAGTTTTTCTTGGTCAAGTCCGTCAGGGGTTTGGCCAGGGCGCTGTAATTGGGCACAAATTGTCTGTAGTAACCAGCGGTACCAAGGAACGCCAATACTTGTGTCTTTGTCCTGGGGGTAGGCCACTTAGCTACTGCCTCTATCTTGGCCGGTTCGGGCCTCTGCTGTCCGCATCCTACCCTGTGACCCAGGTACTGCACCTCTGCCATCCCTATGTGACACTTGCTAGGTTTTAGTGTCAGCCCTGCCTCTCCAATACGGTCAATTGGAGAAGGTAAATTGGAGAAGGTAGCACCTTTTGCCGCAATCAACTCCTGTACCTGGGCACGCTCCTGGAGACTTAGCCGCTCCCCCAGCTGCACACCTGTAGCGTTTTCTGCAGAATCTTCCTTTTCTAACATGTCTGGCAAGGGCAGATTCTCATAATCCTCAGTGGCTGGGGCACAGATGGCTGCTACCTCCTCTATTCTCTGGTGATAGGATTTGAGCATGTTCACATGGAGCATGCGTCGTTTCCCTACCCCAGAGCACGGGCCGATCACATAAGTGGTGTCACATCTCTGTCAGGGAGCCGCGGGCGGCGAGGAGGGGAGGCTGCACGCCACTTGCAGCACTCACCCTCAGTCCATCGCCCCCCGCGGTCTCCTCTCTGCTTACCTGTCGGCGAGCGGCGTCTCCTCTGTGCCGCTCGCCGCCAGCGTCCTCCACGCCCCCCAGCGGCAGCATGTATAACGCTGCACGCTGGGAGGTCCAGGAGTTAAGTAAACGCCGGGGTCACGTGAGTGACCCGGCGTTAAAGAAACAGTACCACAATCACAGTGGGGGGTATAGATATCCCCCACGTGTGATTGTTAATTCTGATTGGAAGTTGTCCAATCAGAATTAGACCTAGGGTATTTATACTTACCTTTCCTGTCCCTCAGTGCCCTGTTGTGGTCTTGTGATACCTGTAGCGTAGTGTTCTCGTCTTGCTCTCTGGTTACCGTTTACTTGGCTCGTTATTCCGATTATTCTGTCTTCTCCACTCCTTTGACCTCGGCTTGTTTCTCGTTCTCCCGTTTTCTGGCTCCCTTTACCTGGCTTGTCTCCTGACTATTCTTAGCGTGCTTAGCCCGGCCACTCTAAGGTCCGGTACGGCACCTTTCTGTGTGTGTGTGTGTGTGTGTGTCAGCGTGTTAGGTTCCCCGAATCGTGACAATCTCTGTTCTACCACTTGGTATGGGCCCTGCCATGTGGCCTGTAGCTTGTCTGTGCGGACAGGTTTCCAAAATTAGAACTTTCTGTCCCACCTGAAAGCTACGGTCTCTGGCTCCCCTATCGTACCACCGGCGCTGTCGCCGCTGAGCCGCCCGGAGGTTCTCCCGTACGGTTTGGGTTAGAGCCTCCAAGCGGTCCCGGAACTCCAGCACGTATGGCACAATGGGGACTCCATCTGCACTGCTCCCCCCCTCCCAATGTTCTCTAATTAAGTCTAGGGGTCCCCTCACCCTTCTCCCAAACAATAACTCAAACGGAGAGAAGCCGGTAGATTCCTGTGGCACTTCTCGGTACGCAAAAAGCAGATGGGGTAAAAACCTCTCCCAGTCTTTATGGGACTCCCCAAATGTCCTGAGCATCTGCTTCAAGGTACCGTTAAAGCGCTCAAACAACCCATTGGACTGCGGGTGATAGGCAGAATTTACAATTGGCTTAATGCCACATAACTTCCATAGCTGGTGGGTCACTTCGGCTGTAAATTGGGTCCCCCTATCCGAAATTATCTCTTGGGGAAATCCCATCCTGGAAAATATCTTCATCATAGCTTCAGCTACCGTTTCTGCTTGTATAATGGAAAGGGCTATAGCCTCCGGGTACCGGGTGGCATAATCTACAATGGTCAGAATATACCGCTTGCCGGAAGGGTTAGGCTTGGACAGTGGTCCTACTATATCCACTGCTACTCTGCTAAAGGGTTCTTCAATAATGGGAAGGGGGCACAATTTCGCTTTGTGGCGGTCACTCCTTTTTCCCACTCTCTGACAAATGTCACATGTCTGACAATACTGTCTCACATCTCTAGATATACCTGGCCAGAAAAATGCATGTGTCAATCTGTACCTCGTTCTTGTCATCCCTAAATGCCCAGACAGCGGAATATCGTGGGCAATTCTAAGCAGTTCCTGCCGGTATTTCTGGGGCACTATAAGCTGCTTATTAGTCACATGTACAGACCCCCCTACCACCCGCTCAGCAACACGATATAACAGATTTTTCTCCCATACATACTGTTCTCCCTCTAAACCTGTCTGACCAGCTGTCGCCTTATCCTTATAAATTTGCAACGTGGGATCGTTTTTAACCTCTGCCTCAAAGTCAGTCGGGGTATCCCAGGAAACACGGGTTACACGGGGTACATTGTCTCTTACCTGAGCCTCAGAGTGTGTGGAAGATGAAGCCGTGGTGCGAGCCTGCTGACGGGTGGTCACTGGATATGCCTCATGGCGAGGACTTTGGGGCACAAAAGCGGAAGTCATTTGCCCCAGGTCATTCCCCAAAACAACATCAGCTGGTAACTTGTGCATCAGCCCCACCTCCACCATACCTCCCCCGCACCCCAATTCAGATGTACCTTGGCAGTTGGTAGCCGGTACATGGCACCCCCTGCTACCCGGACTGCTACCGATCCCCCGGTATGTGCTGATCCTGACACCAAATGCGGGGCAACCAAAGTTAAGGTAGCGCCGGAATCACGTAGCCCCTGTACCTCTTTCCCTTCCAGAGTCACGGTCTGGCAATGTGGTTGTCGGTTGTCAGTAGCATGGATGGACATTACATCGTGCAAAACGCCCAGGGGTTCATCAGCCGACTCAAGCGGCACTCCTGGCAAAGTTGGCTCTGCATGATAATAATGAGCAGCTGCCCGCGGGGCCATATTCTGCCGGAGCTGATTCCAGTTCTTGCAGCTCCGGTTTTGGGTGCACTCCCGGGCCATGTGCCCCCATTGCTTACAGGCATGGCACTGGATGTTGGACCTGCCATTATAACGGGAGTGGGGAGGTTGTCCCACAAGTGCTGGTCTGGATGGTGCTGTCGCTGGGGCAGGAGCAATAACTGGAAACGGTTGCGGGTTGGGTTTTGCATACCCTCGGTTATTATTTTTATGATGCCTCCTAGCATCATAATGTTGGTCGGCCAATCGTGCCGCTTCGGTTAGGGTGTGAGGATTTCGGTCATTCACCCATTCTTGAGCCTCTGGTGCCAGGCCATTACAAAACTGCTCCAGTAGCAACATCTGGCGTAACTCTTCCATGGTGGTAGCTCTGCTGGCTTGTATCCAGCCTTGTGAGGCTTGGTCAAGCTTGTGTGCCCACTCCGCATGTGAGTCTTTGTCCCCTTTTTTCAATTCTCGGAACTTGCGCCGGTATGCCTCTGGGGTAATGGCATACCTTTCTAATAGCGCCTGCTTTACCTTGTCATAATTCTTGCTGTCCTCTCTGGGTACAGCCCGGTAGGCGTCTGCTGCACGCCCAGACAGTTTGCCTGCCAACACAGGTACCCACATAGCTTGCTCTACATCATGCAAGTCACACAATCTTTCAAAATCTTGCAAGAATCCATCTATTTCGTCTTTATCCTCGCAAAAAGTTTTAAATGCATGATGTGGTATTTTTGGCCTTCCCTGGCCCACAGTTGAAACAGCAGCGGTTTCTGCTTGAGGTGAGAAGGCTTGATTCCTTTGCGCCATCATGTACTCCTGTGCATCCGCCGAAATTATGGTCATAATTTCTGGAGATACTGGAGTGGGCCAAAATGCCAATCTTGTCCTCATTTCTCGTTCAAATGGGGTCTCCTCCATGTTTGCTGGGGGTGTAGCACTACGAGCTCGGTCTCCTTCCATTAGCTTGGCAATAAGTCTTGCTTTAGGCATATTGCTGGCTATCTTACCCCTGGCTTCCAACAGCTCCTTTAACGTTTGCCGTTTCAATATGGTGTAGTCCGTCCCCATTCACTTCTGCATCTGTATCAATTGCCTTCTGCTTTCCAGTATGTCAATTCCAATTGTATAAACAGCGTTTTTCCTGCTGTACGGTTGGATCCCGCCGCTGCCACCAATTGTTGCAGAGCTGCAATTTTATAATCCCAGGATCTCTGCTGGTAGAATGCAATAACCAAGTACAAAGCTGGAAGCAGGCAATATTCCCAAATCCTCCCAAGAACCAGACGAAACACAGTCTGAGAGTCAACTGCCACTTTATTCAAAAAGACTGATATTTAAAGCAGGTCACTCAACTGTCACTTTATTAAAAATAACTGATATTTAAAGCAGGTCACTCAACAGGGGTTTCCAAAGATGGGCAGCAGGGGTTTTGGTTGAGGGGACTGGAGGGAGACTACCGTTTCCAGGTCCTCCTCCCAACAGCCCCTGCTGTAACATACAGTAATGAAAACTACGAGGACATAAACCGTTACCTTTCTACTTCAAAATATACAACTTAGTCAGTTTTAATAGCAATGCTAACGAATGGGGAGGATTCGAACAGACATACACAGTACAGCATAAATTAAACATAGCCGGAGACGCCACACTATACCGGCGCGCAGTACACAACAGAAAATAGGCACAACCATTCTATCTTAGGCAGTCCCAAGTGGCTAGGTTTGCCACACGTACCTTCGACCTCATCTGGTACGCTGCCCACAGACGCATCCTGACCCTGATCCTATCCCTTGATGCGGAAAAAGCATTTGACAGACTGCTCTGGCCATTTCTATTTGCAACATTACAGAAATTCGGTTTTCCAACACCCTTCACCAACGCACTGAGGACTCTATACTCATCCCCCAAAGCCACCCTCCTCCTGAACTCGACTACATCCCCCTCCTTCCAAATTAAGAATGGCACACGACAGGGATGCCCACTCTCACCAATATTATTTGCCATATCCCTAGAACCACTACTCCAAGTCCTCCGAAGCCAAAATGACATACAAGGAATTCGAGTCAGGAATGAAACCTACAAGATCGCTGCGTACGCGGACGATGTACTTCTCACAATCACGGACCCGCTAAACTCTCTCCCACACCTGTCTAGGGAATTAACGAAATACGCAAACATGTCCGGTTACAAACTAAACATGGAGAAGACGGAAGCCCTCCCGATCCAAATAGATCAACCCACCCTCCGCACTCTTCGTGCACGCCACCCGTTCACATACCAACCAAATGCTATCAAATACCTGGGAACCACTCTCCCAGCGGACCTCACACAAACTTAAAGCCTAAACTAAACGCCCCTACTAGACACCGCCACACAAGATCTAGACAAATGAAAAGATATGTCAATCTCATGGATAGGCAGAATGACCTCCATAAAAATGAATCTCCTCCCAAGATTTTTGTACCTTTTCCAAACCCTCCCAATCCCGATCATTACCTCCGACTTCAAAAAATTGCAAACCAAAATAGACAAGTTTATATGGGCCGGAAGGAGAGCAAGGATCGCCCGCCGAACACTATACATACCAAACCGACAGGGAGGACTGGGACTCCCCAATTTCACCCAATACTCACGCGGCACACGTAGCGCAAACAATTCAACTCCATGCCGCTCCCGGCCTTAAACGATGGGTCGACCTGGAACATAACATATTCGGATACGATTTCCCCTCCCTATACATTTGGCTACCAAAAGAAGCCAGACCACCGGCCCCCTATACCTCCCCAGCAATTCTTACTACGATCAGAATATGGGACAAAATAGTGGACAAACATGAGCTTATCTCCCACCCCTCACCACTGATGCCCATCCTCCGGAACACAAAATTCACACCAGGCATGTCCCCGGGGGACTTTTCTCACTTCGAGGACAATGACCTAATACGCATTCACCAATTCTACCAGAACCAACGTATCATTCCCTTCGCGGAACTCCCCCAACAGACCCCCCTCACCCCACGAGACTTCTTCCGATTCCTACAAATTCGCAGCTTTGTCGACAAACCTGCAATACAAAAAGCAAGCATCACCCCCCTCACCCCGTTAGAAAAAGCATGTAACAACCACCCACTCCACAAAGGACAGATATCCTCTATATATTCCCTACTAAGCAGGAGCATACGGGAAGGTTCAATGCCCTATATGGCAGCCTGGGAGAGGGACCTAGGTCCCATAGGGGACCAAAGCAATTGGGCAAACATATGGGAGGCCACAGCAACAATATCGATATGTGTCAATCACAAAGAACAAGCGTATAAAACTCTTCTTAGATGGTACCTCACTCCACTACGTTTGAAACAAATGAGACAAACCGACAACGACCTCTGCTGGAAGGGGTGCGGGAACAGGGGAACTTTCATACACACGTGGTGGGAGTGCCCTCGGTTGGCCACGGTGTGGCAACATATAGCGCAATTAGCATCACAGGCACTACACACCACTATCCCGATGGACCCATGGCTATGGCTCCTTTCCAGGCCCCTCAGAGACACCCCAAGAGAACACAACAAATTGATAGCAAAATTGGCACTAGCCACTAGGTGAGCAATCGCAGAGAAATGGGGAAGCCCAGACACCCCACCCATCGCACTCATCCAACGGAAAATTAATGAAACTATGAAAATGGACAAACTTACCGCCCTTGTACATGACACCACTAGACACTTCGACAAAATATGGGAGCCATGGATCTTCGAATTCCCAACACTATAAGGCACTTCCCACCAAGGGACGAACCAGGCGGGTGGTGGCCCCTGGGGAGTGATAACCTCGAGGACCGCTCCAGGCCCCACACTTCACCAACCAGGCTGCCTCTCTCCCGGAACCCCCACATCCACAGCGAGAGACCCCCAAACCGCCCACCCCAACCACACTAGACAAACACAGTCACACCAATCTACACAAAATCCACCACACACAACCCCCCCCACCGCACCAAACAGAATGACCCCCATGAGCCGCTCCAACTCCGCCAGCACCAGACCACGGGCACTAAACACACAAGGACAAACGAAACAATCAGCCAACGCAAACAGGAGCTCTAACTGGAGCATCTCCAACACAGACCACCACCCTGTCTGGGGTCATGAACGCACCCACCACAAATACCGCACCACACGAGAACAACAAGTGGGACGCACTCTCAGACCACCCCCGACAGAAACCACAACCCCAGATATAAGGAGCAAATAACCACTTACGACGAAGCCAACAGCGGCTAACCACCACATACCACACACGGATCAGGAAACACCTACCG